ATTAGTCATGCGTAAGGACAAATTTTTTCGTAATTTTAGGGCTTTCAGTGTTTCAGAATCTTTTATGGATTTTTGACATCTTTGCGTAAAGCTCACTTTTTCCAACTTTGAAACTTTTTACCTTTTCTCGAGCTCTTATCGAAACTTAACATACTAGATTTTTTATTGACAGCGATCCTCGGAAGTTTTTTACGGTTTCAGTTTTTCGAAATTTCCGATTTTTTTCCAAAATCGCCAAGATGAAATATGAATCATTTTTGAGATATTTTAATAAAAATTTGACTTTGAAGTCGAATATTTCGAAAACTAGTTTTTATATTAACTTGCAATTTTTTTCACTCAAGGATCCATTCATTAGTCCTGCGTAAGACAATTTTTTTCGTAATTTTACGGCTTTCAGTTTTTCAGAATTTTTTATGGGTTTTTGTGAACTTTGCGAAAAGCTCACTTTTTCCAACTTTGAAACTTTTTACCTTTTCTCGAGCTTTTATCGAAACTTAACATAGGAGATTTTTTATTGACAGCGATCCTCTGAAGTTTTTTACGGTTTCAGTTTTTCGAAATTTCCGATTTTTTTTCCAAAATCGCCAAGATGAAATATGAATCATTTTTGAGATATTTTAAAAAAAATTTGACTTTGAAGTCGAATATTTGGAAAACGAGTTTTCATATCAACTTGCAATTTTTTTCACTCAAGGATCCATTCATTAGTCCTGCGTAAGACAATTTTTTTCGTAATTTTACGGCTTTCAGTTTTTCAGAATTTTTTATGGGTTTTTGTGAACTTTGCGAAAAGCTCACTTTTTCCAACTTTGAAACTTTTTACCTTTTCTCGAGCTCTTATCGAAACATAACATACGAGATTTTTTATTGACAGCGATCCTCTGAAGTTCTTTCCGGTTTCAGTTTTTAGAAATTTCTGATTTTTTTTCCAAAATCGCCAAGATGAAATATGAATCATTTGTGAGATATTTTAATAAAAATTTGACTTTGAAGTCGAATATTTCGAAAACTAGTTTTTATATTAACTTGCAATTTTTTTCACTCAAGGATCCATTCATTAGTCTTGCGTAAGACAATTTTTTTCGTAAATTTACGGCTTTCAGTTTTTCAGAATTTTTATGGATTTTTGACAACTTTGCGAAAAGCTCAGTTTTTCCAACTTTGAAACTTTTTACCTTTTCTCGAGCTCTTATCGAAACTTAACATACGAGATTTTTTATTGACAGCGATCCTCTGAAGTTTTTTACGGTTTCAGGTTTTCGAAATTTCCGATTTTTTTTCCAAAATCGCCAAGATGAAATATGAATCATTTTTGAGATATTTTAAAAAAAATTTGACTTTGAAGTCGAATATTTGGAAAACGAGTTTTCATATCAACTTGCAATTTTTTTCACTCAAGGATCCATTCATTAGTCCTGCGTAAGACAATTTTTTTCGTAATTTTACGGCTTTCAGTTTTTCAGAATTTTTTATGGGTTTTTGTGAACTTTGCGAAAAGCTCACTTTTTCCAACTTTGAAACTTTTTACCTTTTCTCGAGCTCTTATCGAAACATAACATACGAGATTTTTTATTGACAGCGATCCTCTGAAGTTCTTTCCGGTTTCAGTTTTTAGAAATTTCTGATTTTTTTTCCAAAATCGCCAAGATGAAATATGAATCATTTGTGAGATATTTTAATAAAAATTTGACTTTGAAGTCGAATATTTCGAAAACTAGTTTTTATATTAACTTGCAATTTTTTTCACTCAAGGATCCATTCATTAGTCTTGCGTAAGACAATTTTTTTCGTAAATTTACGGCTTTCAGTTTTTCAGAATTTTTATGGATTTTTGACAACTTTGCGAAAAGCTCAGTTTTTCCAACTTTGAAACTTTTTACCTTTTCTCGAGCTCTTATCGAAACTTAACATGTGAGATTTTTTATTGACAGCGATCCTCTGAAGTTTTTTACGGTTTCAGGTTTTCGAAATTTCCGATTTTTTCCAAAATCGCCAAGATGAAATATGAATCATTTTTGAGATATTTTAATAAAAATTTGACTTTGAAGTCGAATATTTTGAAAACTAGTTTTTATATCGACTTGCAATTTTTTTCACTCAGAGACCCATTAGTCCTGCGTAAGACAATTTTTTTCGTAATTTTACAGTTTCCAGTTTTTCAGAATATTTTATGGATTTTTGAGAACTATGCGAAAAGCTCACTTTTTCCAACTTTGAAACTTTTTACCTTTTCTCGAACTCTTATCGAAACTTAACATACGAGATTTTTTATTGACAGCGATCTTCTGAAGTTTTTTACGGTTTCAGTTTTTCGAAATTTCTGACCTTTTTTCCAAATCGCCAAGATGAAATATGAATAATTTTTGAGATATTTTAATAAAAATTTTTTAACAACCATATGAAATCAACATATGACGAAATGCGGATGAAATATAAATAACCAAACTATAATTAAAATATAAAATACGATCAATTAAAGTACTTTTTTTCTAAAATTTTGATAATTTTATCAAGTACATAGTAGATGTTATTCGGAAAAGACAACGAACTGAAGATACAACAAATGTTCAAAAAAATGTATAAAGCTATTTACACAGAACCTTCCTCGCCCCTGGAGGACAACAACACCGCCTACATCAAAGGGGATTTTGAAAAAATTGCACGGGTTACAGGTAAAAAAAAAATTGAATCTTATATTGAAGATAGAAATTGTGACGAACTTTTTAGACAAAAAAAAGGAAAAACGAAAGATATACACCATACAAAAAAAAACTTTTCGCAGAAACACACTACAGCAACAATTTTTGCAGCCACTGCACTTTTCCAGATGTCACAGCACCTACTTTCCGCTCCACCTGTAATAAGATTATTTACTACATAACGTCTTTGTTTATTGTTCAAAGGCGAGTTATTGAACTTAGCTAACCATCACTTATCCAAGCCTGCACTTTTGCAACCAACCAACAACATCAACAAAAACTAGACCACCTTTACGTGTCACAACTCAAGAAAACGTACCATCCATACAGCGCTCATTTAACCATAAATGTTCAACTGAGCATAAAGCTAATAAAGAACTTAACATTATATAAAAGGAGCCTTCTAAGAAGCGCCCGAACACAGTTATTCCATCGCACAGTTGCTGATGGCACATATCCCAGCATGTCCGAAGTACCGTTCGGGGAGAAATTGTACTAAACGGTACTGCCAACAAATGCCACCATCTTCAGGATGTCACCAAGAAGAGTTTTTGTGGACGTGACGTCAGATGGATCTCACGCATGTGGAAGACGTCAGAGGGTACTTATACATTTATGGATGTGATGCTAATGACCTATTGTTCTAACTCGGATTGGTAACAAGAAAAACGAAGTTCATGAGTATGTGATACATGAAAAAATCGGCCATTGTTCGCTGACGTGAATTATAATAATTGGTTGAGGTGTAATCCGAATGGGAAGAGGAAGAGCAGTGGCGTAACGCTAAGGTTACGGTGTTTCCAAATCGAAGAAACAAATAAATTTGGAAGAGTTGCTTCACTAAGTTGAATCCTCAAATACTCAAAGTAGAACACATTTTTTTACTTAATCTGTACTGGCTTTTCCCGACAAGATTTATAAATAATTTTTGCATTTTATCTTGTTTAATCTCACGTTGTTGAATCAAGTATTTGTTTAGTGATTGCAGACTATTAACAAAGTTTTATTTGTTTATACTCTCCAGAAAGTTAATGTTAAGGAAAAACTGACTGAATGCCGTCGTTATCCAGTCCTTTCAAAGTAGTCAAAAAATTCACAAAAAATTTGAACATTCGGTTTCAAATTCAAATTTTTAAAATATTTCAAAAATTGCCATATTTTTTGTCGATTTTGGAAACATTTTAGGAATTTTCAAAGAAATGAAACCGAAAATAAAATCTCGTCGGGTATATAATTTTCGAAGGTTTTAATTTGCAACTGATGAGCTTGACATTGCAGTTGACCTAGGTTATAAGAGGTATGATATCAATTTCTTTCCTCCAACAGGTGTTTAACAACCACTTGAAATGACAATATTCGAAAGTGCTTTCATGAACCAAGATAGAGAAAACTAATATTGTACCTCGATCAAGGATGCTAAAAATTTGATTATCTTAATGTTGTGCTCTGAAATGGCAACAAGAAACCAATTTGATGTGTTGTTGTCAACCCTTTGAATAAATTATCTACGGTCTATTACATTTGTAATCTAGAACACGAAATGAATTTATTATCTACTATTATTAGGTATAGTGTTATTATTATGGCCAACCAGATCATTGATTATAATAAAAGAAGAATAAAAATTTTTCTATACTGATTTTCAAACTGTGATTAAAATTATGAAACTTCAGAAATCAGAATATATCTCTAAAATGATAATTCTAAACAATTAACTTTCAATTAGGAATATTTCCTTTCAAATTTAACATTCTAGTTTCAGTGTCAAGTACATCAACTGGTTTCAACTTTGCTGTTGCTCAACAAACACCTTCAAGAATCTGTTAAATGTACACCACAGAATTTTTGAAAGCCAGCCGCCCCTGCCCCATTGTCTAACTCCGACTCAAAAAACCTGTTACGCCGCTGGAGACAACGGTACCACCCCGACTTAAGTCTTTATTATTCCAAGTGCTTAAGCTATCACAGTCACATATCTGTTCTGTGATCACATTTCAAATAGCAGTCTGGCGCCCGGGCTTCCTTTGACGAAGATTCCCATCGACTAGACCATCTGGATACACAATCCAGATGTGCGCAGATGTGTGTTTATTTTGACTTCTGTGTGGCTGCAGTAAGTACCCACAAAAAAGGAAACAATGACTGAAAATTTGTGCAGCAGGTACCGCCTCCACGCCGTTTTTTAAATTAAACTATTGATAAAAACGGCACGACAACAATGGTACCACCCACAGTTCCAGTACTCTTTTTCGCGATAACGTTTTATGTCCTCAACATCCACACAAAAATTCTACTTACGTTTTTTGTACCACGGAAACCTCGTACCACCTATCAGTATCCCATTGGAAAAGCGGTACTTTCGGGTTCTCACATCGGCACTCGACCGCGAAGGCACTGGTTCTTCAGATTTACGAAATCGACAAAACCGTGAACATGTGTGTGGTAGGACGCATGCACCAGCAGGAAAGTTATGGGCCTGCTCTGTTCGCGTTCGGAAGCCGACTGAGTGAAGTTGCCGTCTTGTCGAGTCGCTGGCTCTCAGCAGTAGGAGGTGGCAACAATTTGTTGCCGTCGAAGATCAAAGGGACCTCGGCTGGGGCTCGAGTGGAAATTGATGGGGGTCGGGAGGGCTTGCGAAGGAACGTGGATGAAAATTGGATAGTTGTATTTTTTGAGCTGATGTTATGCATTTTTTGGAAAGAACGGATGAATCGGAAGATATGTTATTGTTGAAAAGCTGCTAAAGCTTGGAAAGTCTTCTGTATAAATTAGAGATAACGCAATAAATACAAAGCACGACTCGATACGAACCTTTCAGCTTTTTCTTCCGTGTTTTTGTTCGGAATTGTAATAAATAATCACTGATAACGCGTAAGTTATCAATGTTTTTTTTTTGGAAGATATTTAAATTCACAAATATTGAAAAGTGATACGTATTAACTTACTTTAGGATGACATCAATTTTTAGGAGGTTTACTTGTGTTTTAGACTAATATAGTTTATAGTTCTGAAATTTATTTTTGAAGATCATTTTAATAACTGTAAGTCATCATAGAACGAAAATTTGGACAAACAAATATTATTCGGCCAACAAAATTTAATTTAACCAGAAAATAATCGCTTATTTAAGTACGAAATATGAAATATTTAAATATACACAGTGATTCACTAAGCGCACTCCTCGATATCTCGATAGAAATCAGGAGGTCACGGACTAAAGTTGTAACGGCTGTTTTAGGACCATACACTCAAATTATTTTCACCTATACTGTTTTCAGTATGTAATACACAAGTTGGTTTTTTCAATTAGAATACCCTATATATTTTTATATGTTCTGACTGACTTCCCCTATATGAAACAATTTATTATCTCTGTATTGGTTCATCTGTACTGTTAGACAATAAGCTTAATACATTGTTTTTTTTTATTTTTTCAAACTGTTCCAAAAACAATTCCAAAATAAACGAAGGGATCCCCGTAATCCTTCAAACAACTTCAAAAACAAAACACAAGAGATCCCGAGATTCTCCTAAATTACTTCAAAAACAAAACGAAATTCCCGAGATTCTTACAAGTTACTTCAAAAACAAGACAAAGAATCCCAGAGATTCTTTCAAACTACTTCAAAAACCGAAAATCTGTCAAACTGCTTTAAAAAACACACAAAGTGTTTCCGAGATTTCTTCAAATTACTTCAAAAATAACACAAGGGATCTCCGAGATTCTTTTAAACCACTTCAAAAACAAAACAAAAAGAGTCCCCGAGATTTTTTCAAATTACTTCAAAACCAAGACGAGATTTCCGAGATTCTTTCAAACTACTTCAAAAACAGAACTCATTTTTTTCCTATTACTTCAAAAAAAAGACAAAGAATACCCGAGATTCTTTCAAACTACTTTGATATTAAAACACAAAGGGTTTCCGAGACTCTTTCGAACTACTTCAAAAAGAAAACATAAGGGGTTCCCAAGATTGTTTCAAATTACTTCAAAAATAAGACTAAGAATCCCAAGATTGTCTCAAATTACTTCAAAAACAAAATGAGATCCCCGAGATTCTTACAAGTTATTTCAAAAACAAGACAAAGAATCTGCAAAATTCTTTCAAACTACTTCAAGAACCAAACACAAGGGGTCCCCGACAATCTGTCAAAATACTAAATAAAGACAAGGAATCTTCGAGATTCCTTCAAACTACTTCAAAAGCAAAACATAAGGGGTTCCGAAGATTGTTTCGAATTATGCACTTCAAAAACCAAACGAGATCCCCAAGATTATTACAAGTTACTTCAAAAACAAGACAAATAATCCCAGAGATTCTTTCAAACTACTTCAAAAACCAAAAAGGGGTTCCCCGAAAATCTGTCAAACTTTTTTAAACAAAACACAAGGCGTTCCCGAGATTCTTTCAAACTACTTGAAAAAGAAAAGAAAAGGGATTCCGAAATTCTATCAAATTACTTGAAAAATAAAACAAAAGGGATTGCGAGATTCTTTCAAATTACTTTAAAAACAAGACGAAGAATACCTGACATTCTTTCAAACTACTTCACAAATCAAACACAAAGGGTTTCTCTCAAACTACTTCAAAAACAATATACAAGGGGTTCCAGAAATTGTTTCAAATTACTTCAAAAACAAGGCGAGATCCAGGAGGTTTTTACAAGTTACTTCAAAAACAAGACAAAGAATCCCCGAGATTCTTTCAAACTACTTCAAAAACCAAACACAAGAGGTCCCCGAAAATCTGTTAAACTACTTAAAAAAATATCTAAAAGGGTGTTCGAGATTTCTTCAAGTTACTTCAAAAATAACGCAAGGGATCTCCGAGATTTTTTTAAACAAAAAGAAACCCCGAGATTCTTTCGAATTATTTCAAAAACAAGACAAGGGATCCCTGAGATTTTTTCAAACTACTTGAAGAACCAAACGAAAGGTCCCCGATAATCTGTGAAAGTACTTAAAAAAAATCTCAAGGGATTTCCGAGATTCTTTCAAATTATTTCAAAAATAAAACAAGGAATCCCCTACATTCTTGTAAATTACTTCAAAAACAAGACAAAGAATCCCAGAGATTCTTTCAAACTACTTCAAAAACCAAACACAAGAGGTCTCCTAAAATCTGTCAAATTACTTAAAAAAAATCTCATGGGATTTCCGAGATTTCTTCAAGTTACTTCAAAAATAACTCAAGGCATCTCCGAGATTTTTTTAAACAAAAAGTAACCCCGAGATTCTTTCGAATTACTTCAAAAACAAGACAAGGGATCCCTGAGATTTCTTCAAACTACTTGAAGAACCAAACGAAAGGTCCTCGACAATCTGTGAAACTACTTAAAAAAAATCTCAAGGAATTTCCGAGATTCTTTCAAATTATTTCAAAAATAAAACAAAAAACCCCCTACATTCTTTTAAATTACTTCAAAAACAAGACAAAGAATCCCCGAGATTCTTTCAAACTACTTCAAAAACCAAACACAAGAGGTCCCCGAAAATCTGTTAAACTACTTAAAAAAAAATCTCAAGGGTTTTTCGAGATTCTTTCAAATTATTTCAAAAATAAAACTAGGATTCCTCTACATTATTTTAAATTACTCCAAAAACAAGACAAAGAATCCCCGAGATTCTTTCAAACTAATTCAAAAACCAAACACAAGAGGTCCCCGAAAATCTGTTAAACTACTTAAAAAAATATCTAAAAGGGTGTTCGAGATTTCTTCAAGTTATTTCAAAAATAACGCAAGGGATCTCCGAGATTTTTTTAAACAAAAAGAAACCCCGAGATTCTTTCGAATTATTTCAAAAACAAGACAAGGGATCCCTGAGATTTTTTCAAACTACTTGAAGAACCAAACGAAAGGTCCTCGACAATCTGTGAAACTACTTAAAAAAAATCTCAAGGGTTTTCCGAGATTCTTTCAAATTCTTTCAAAAATAAAACAAAGAGTCCCGATTCTTTTAAATTACTTCAAAAACAAGACAGAGAATCCCCGAGATTCTTTCAAACTACTTCAAAAACCAAACACAAGAGGTTCCCGAAAATCTGTTAAACTACTTAAAAACATATCTCAAGGGGTTTCCGAGATTTCTTCAAGTTATTTCAAAAATAACGCAAGGGATCTCCGAGATTTTTTTAAACAAAAAGAGACCTCGAGATTCTTTCAAATTACTTCAAAAACAAGACAAGGGATCCCTGAGATTTCTTCAAACTACTTGAAGATCCAAACGAAAGGTCCCCGACAATCTGTGAAACTACTTAAGAAAAATTTCAAGGGATTTCCGAGATTCTTTCAAATTATTTGAAAAATAAAACAAGCAATCCCCTACATTCTTTTAAATTACTTCAAAAACAAGACAAAGAATCCCAGAGATTCTTTCAAACTAATTCAAAAACCAAACACAAGAGGTCCCCGAAAATCTGTTAAACTACTTAAAAAAATATCTCAAGGGGTTTACGAGATTTCTTCAAGTTATTTCAAAAATACCGCAAGGGATCTCCGAGATTTTTTTAAACAAATAGAGACCTCGAGATACTTTCAAATTACTTCAAAAACAAGACAAGGGATCCCTGAGATTTCTTCAAACTACTTGAAGAACCAAACTCAAGGGGCTCCCGATTTTTTTTTAAATTACTTCAAACAAGAAGACAAGAACACCCGAGATCCTTTCAAACTACTTCAAAATTAAAGCACCAAGGGATCCCGAGATTCTTTCAAAGGACTTCAAAAACAAAATACAAAGGCTTCCCGAGATTGTTTCTAATTACTTCAAAAACAAGACAAGGGATCCCCGAGATTCTTTAAACTACTTCAAAATTAAAACACATGAACTCCCCGAGATTCTTTCAAACTATTTCAAAAACAAAACACAAGGGATTTCTGATATTCTTTCAAATTACTTCAAAAATAAGACAAGGAATCCCCAACCACTTCAAAAACAAAACATAAGGGTTTCCGAAGATTGTTTCGAATTATGTACTTCAAAAACCAAACGAAATTCCCGAGATTCTTTCAAATAACTTCAAAAACAAGACGAGATCCCCGAGATTCTTTCAAAAACGGCAACGGATCCCTGAAATTCTATAAAAGTTCTTCAAAAACAAAACACAAAGAGGTTATTGAGATTTTTTGATATTAATTTGTTAGTAAATATAACAGTAAGATATTTCCAAAAAAAAACTCAACAAAGTCGATATCAAAAAAGTTTACTTAAAGATAAACTTGCATATGTAAAAAAAAATGCAGTTATCGTGTTTTTACACAAAATGTAAATATATTGATAAGTGTAAGTTCAAAAAACTTCGTTATTGTTTTTTTTTAATAGGAAATAAAAATATAGAAAAAATATAATAAAAAAAATAAATCAATAAAAACTAAGAACAATTATTTTTGCCACCAAATTCCCACATTATTATATTCAGACACTTATTTTTGATATAGTGGGGACTTTTAATACGTTTCTTATCTACAGACGACAACTACGATATATAATGGCATGACTAAAACTCGAATTGCCAGCCTACGATAACAATACTAATTACAGTGACTTATACAGGTGGTCCTAAGGTAAGGTACCAATAAAACTTGTACGTCAAGACAGTTACAAAAATGAAAAACGGCTCCACATGAGCACTCAGCTCCAAATTATAAAATAAAAAAACAACATAAAATAATTACACTTAAAAAAGTACGATGTCTCCACAATAAAACGATTATTGTAATCAGTACGACAGTACTTAACATTAGGATAAGCAGACTTGTTCGATATAACGGGGGACACTGTACATGGTAGGGAACTAGGGACCACCTTATATTCGTAATGTCATATACATACTCGTAATTATTCAAAGCTGTTTATGTTTAAAACGCAAACAACACAGTTTGGAAAGGGTTTCGCGAGTGTTAACTACCACAGTTTAAACGGCAATGGACAGTACGTATACATTTTTTATTTAATTCGTTTGCATAAAATTGTTTCTATTTTTTTTTTTTTGTTAAATACATATGTCTGCAGTCACAGAATTTTGCCAGTTGGTGCTACTGCAAACACCACTTCAGCCTGTTATCATCGTCGCTTTCTATCTTTTATTCGTTTTGAAACTGGGACCAATCTGGATGAAAAACCGACAGCAATTTGAAATTAAAAAACTCCTCATCGTATATAACTGTCTCCAAGTATTTTTCAACGCACATATGTTTATTACAGTGAGTTGAAAATAACCAAGTTAACTTTGTTTGACAAAAATTTTAGATGATGTGTGTTTTACCCAAACTAAATATTTTGTGTGGACCCATCCAGGATTCAGAACTTGAACTGCATTCCACTTTGTCAAACGTCTGTCACAAGTACGCTGCTCTTAAATTGTTCGATTTGTTAGACACGGTATAAGTCAGTATAATTTTGACGATTTAAAAACTAACGATTCATTTTTCTAGGCATTTTTCATTCTGCGGAAAAGCTACAGACAGATATCTTTTTTACATGTTTACCATCATACGAGTATATTCGTGATGGGTTGGGTAAATATTAGATACATTTTAGTGAACAAAGAGTACCCAATGGGTCCGATTATCTTCTTTGGTGCCTGGAATACTTTAGTACATTCCGTGATGTACACATACTACTTGCTCAGTATTAACAAAAAATATGTTGGACAGTTATGGTGGAAAAAGTGCCTCACTTTGCTGCAACTTGTAAGAAAAACGTTACATTGTCGCCCGAAATACATATACAGGATTTCAGATTCAACATTGCTGCATGGTTTTTATGCACATCGTCGACGTACCTAACTATAAATGCCCAATTCCTAAGCAGTTACATTTATGGAGTCTATTTAATTTCATCTTAATGGTGTATCTTTTTTCCAAATTTTATGTAGATGCTTATTGCCGTAAAAAGGAAAATTTGGACAAAAACGTCGTTTCAGAAAAGTTGGCGACACCTCATGTACATTTAGAATAATAAGAAAAATGTGATGCTTAGAAATCCTCATAAACTATTCAAAATATTGCTGTTGTTTGTTATGCTGTAACGCCACTTAAATTTTCAAAGTTAGTGAGTAGTGCGGAGAGCCGCAATTCTGCTCAACCCGTGACGCCTTGTAGTTGTAGTGTGATTTAGTGCTACTGATAAGTTTAAAAATTAACAAATCGTGTTAATTAACCACAGCACTTTTAATATTTATCGGAACTATGAAAAATCAATCTGGCACGCAAAACCTGACTGCACCTGCCCGGATTTTACAAATTTACAAATATGTAACCATACTAAGTCAGTTCTACAGAGCTTAAAATAAGTAATAATAATAATACCGCGCTCATTTCGCTCCGAATTAGTACCACTGACCTAAAATGCGCCCGAAGTGCATAAAAATTGCCCACAATTATAGAAAAAGCCATCGGAGCGAAACCGCAGCATAAATCATAACGCATCTGATTAAACAACTTTCTTAGTCTTAGAACGAAATAATTAAAACGCGTTATATTTGCTTTCACCGGTGGTACTGCAATTCGTGTGTACGTTGTTCAGTGACTGCTAAATTTCTTCGTATGTTAAACCGTCGACAATAATTCATACATGGTCATTAACAATGAAGAAAGTGATCTTCGTCGGTGAACAAGCTAATTGTTTCCTTACCACATCCTCTAATCAAATCAATTTCCCACGTTCCGGATTCGCCGTCAATGTCAATATTTATGCTAATTAACGAAATTCTTCGCGTATTCGGGTTAGATTGGTACAATTAATGCGCCGGATTTGGCGGAATTCCGGAGTTTTGCAGCGATTAGAGAATGCAACTGTAATTTGTCTTTGATGAGGGGAAAAGTTGGAGAAATTTTTTAACTTATCACTATCTACGAAACTTCCGCACGTGTGTGGGTACTTGGCGAGATATATCTGCAGTGCAAATAACGTAATTAAGTTCCTGGTTATCATTGCAACACATAGATTAGTAAATAGACAAAAGTGTAACAAACAAAATTATTATCCTACTGTGGTATTATATTGTCGTTCTAATTTTTAAGTAGGTGGATTATTATGCATTATGTATTTGTGAAACAATTCATTTCGGTCGTTTCGCAAATGTGGGTATTATTTAATTCTTTAATTGTTTCAATGACTCGTCCATAAACAAGGATAACGTGATGTTTAAATTAGTGCATCAGGTATAAATCATCTTGTAAATAACCTGTGTCACAAGTTGCTCCAGAAGCTGTTATTTAGTTAATTTAATCGTAACACTAGACATTTAAATTTGGCGCCCGAACTACTCGATTTGATTCGTTTGAGTGAAACTGTGACGTTAGACCAATTAATAAACTACTGTGCACATTTAATTTTATCATAGAAAAAAGGAACAAACAAAGTAATAAGATTTTTAATAATGATAATAACTGTTGGAAAGGTAGTTAATAGTTACTTGAAAGTTTTATTAGTAAATTAATTTGAATTGTTATCTCAATTATATGCATTTGTAGATATGTGTATTTTTATGCCGGCGCATAACAGATTAAGCTGCTCTCCAATGTATTCTAAGTACGAAATGACCTTATTTCTTATCAACTTGTAACTTGATAAGAACTTAACAGTGCTAGTACATTAACTTACCATTTATAGGCTTAAATAAGAATTTGATAAAATTTCTTTACGACGTGTGGACGGCAGCACACTGATTACTGGTGAATATTTGGTTGCCTACATCACATTTTAAAAAATTGTAATAATTGTTTATTAATTGGTCTGTCTAGTCGGAAATTTCATCAGGGTCATGAATTTGACCCCATTTTCGTGATATCTCCTCAAATAACGGAGAAAACTTATCTTTTTCCCGACGCATCCACCATTTGTACATATTGTTTGTATGCAACCAACTATACACACAATTTAATAGTTTAATAATAATCATTTCAATCATTTCATATTTATTAATATATTTATAATCGTGACAAGTTACTTCTTTTGATGGACAGATTTCCTCTGCAACTTCGTAGGAAATTTTGGTTTTCCTGCCTTTTTCTTCATTTGTCTGGGACTGACACTCTGCTCACCCAAAACAACAGTATTGCTGGGTTGAGGACGTGCCGTTCTAAAAATGTTCAAATCAATCTTATTCAAAGGGATATTAGACAACTCTTCATCCACCGTCTGTTCATTCGCCTTCCTCACATCTTCAATTTTCTTGTGAAGCGGTAAAACTGCAGGTGCCAATAACCTAAAAACCATCTAAAAAAAAATCAAAACTAACTTATTAAAACAAATGACCTCGCTCCACTCCGGTATACCATCCCCAGTAAAAGAAAACTGCCAAAACGGTATCCCCAGATGGTGTACACACATCTTCAAATAAGTAGTAAAATCGTCAGCTAAAAAATAGAACTTCATTGCTGCGTTATGCATCCAAATGGTGGGTAAATAGCGATGATTGATATAAACTAAAGTGACCTAAAAATCAATTGATACTTTTTTTGATCGAAAATTTACTAATTCAAATTACCCGTCCAACGTCACTCAAATTCACCAGTTCAAAAACCTTGCTATCTGCCCCCAGTTTGAGCTCGTATCGTTCGCCGTCTACATTCACCCCCGGATCCGGCTTTATTTCGTACCCATATATCTGAGTTAAGTCGTTTAGACTGTTGACTTCTATTTTTCCGACCACTTTGTCCTCGTCGGAACCCGATTCTAAGCACCATTATTACCGTGATTAATACTCATTTGAAAACTTACCGCGGTAGAAAAAATTATACGTGTATAACAACCCATTACTGGAGGCATAGAAAGAACGCAGGTCTTCCGGCAACAAAACCCCGTGCTTTTGTTCCCAGGCGCAGATGTTGTTGTGCTGGACGGGAGAAAAGCGCTCTAGGGACAAGTCGGACACGCTGGGTAGTTTTTCTGGAAGAGCGAAAGCTAGGTTTGATGATAAATGGGGATGATTTACCTAGAGCTTTGGGTAGACCGATGAGGAGGTTTTCGTAGAACGAGTCTTCGGAGACTTTGTCAACAATGAATTCCATTTTGGATGGTTTTAGTCAGATTTGGTGAATATAAACGTCATTCCAGAGGTAACCAAGGTTGTATTGAACAAACTTGTGAATGTTTACTTAACTTATCAGAAGACTGTTAGATGGAAGCACTCTCTCTTAGTTTCGCTGAAGTGAAGTTTGAAAATCGAGTCGGCTCAAAATTTCGATAAAAATGTCACCTGTTGTCAGATTGCCGGGTGTTTTGGGGCGAATTGGAAAGAAACAACTGGAATTGGCATCGCTGAGGTCAGTTGAGAGTGTTTTTAATAAGTATTATCTAAGATTTGTTGTTGGTAGGGTTGGTTCAGCTTTGGCTTATGGTACGACTACAGGTTTGATAGTACTGTATGCTTTTGAATGGAAGGACGTTCTGCAATACGTGCCATATTACAATGGAAAGTACCAAGAATAACAAATTGTTCTGTTTTTGTAGTTTAAGGAAAATATATTTATGGAAATATGTGGTGGTTGATTATTTTGAGTTATGTGGGTCGATCAATTTTGGTTGACAGGTCAGGTGCTACACTCTAAAATAAACATTTGCACTTCACGTTTACGAAAATTTGGGTAATAAATCATGTGTAATGAATCAGGTGTAAACATTTTTAGATTTCTTTGTTTATATGTCTATATGTTTGTATTATTTTTATTTAATTATGTCTTTATTGATTCTCAGTTGTTTTTTCATTAATGTTTCCTGTTTCGTTTGTTGCTTTCATATTCCAACCAAAATCAAAACATGTTTACAAAATAAGGTCTAAAATAAATATTAACTACGCTGTTATCTTAAATTTGCAATAGGTGTATGACATTTGATGATTTACATACTCATTACTACATACGATATGTGGATTGCATAATGAATAAACCAGAATGATAAATAAATATTTCTTCCACTTGTTTTTAAATTTCTTATCAATTTGCCACCGAAAATTTATACTGATGACTTTTTCGGACGTTTTTATGGTTCATGGTGGTGGCTTGAACCTTATGTCCCTCATGGTAGATTTTGGGCATATCGTAGAAGATCAATATTGAGTACTTAAGCATCACGTACAGCTGATAGGTGGTACCCGATTGCAAAGAAAACCCATCACTTCCTGGTACTCACACAGTACAAAAACCTACCTTTGTGGGAAGCCGAACCAGAATTGGTCATGGTGGAGCTAGAAGTTGTAGCTCTCATCATGAACACCAAATGCCTTCTGGTAAAACTGATAGTACGAAGTTCCTTCAAGGGCAGAATTTGTAGGTAGCCTCAAACTACAACGAAATTCACATTTTACCCTATAAAATTTTATTGACAATAACGGGACGGACAGTAGTTATATATACATTTGGTAAGAAACATTTATGGCTCACACCAGTTCTCTCCAATTTGTCGGAGAAGATTTAGCAGGTAGTTGTTCCCATAAAATAATGGTCACTTTCGTTCGTGAGTAACGATGGTCCGGACATGAATTATTTTGCTTTCTAACATCTTTCGACCAATAGTTCCGTATAAAAAATTTCATCACTTTTTCAAATAAAATACTCTTAAAAAGAAAACGATATTGTCGTTGAGTGACATGTAACTGGCATAATAATAAAAACGTGCCATTTTTGTTAAGTGATATTTTTTCATAAATGTCGCAAAATTATTAAATTTGTCTAATCATCCCCACCAATAATGTGATGACGTCACTTCAAATTTATGCATAGTAAATGGGTTTTAAATTGTATACAGTAACATAGTCCTACACATGTAGTTTATGACTCCGTTTTTACCCGAAACGTCCAGATTTTTGGAAAAAAAAATCAAAATTATAAAACAATATTTTGCAATTTAATTTTGAATTTGCAAAATCGAATACTTTGAAATCTTGCAGATGTTTTAAAATCATGATAAACATGATACATTTTTAATTAAAATATATTTGCTTATCCCCTCTAAAAAATTTATAACGTCACCTCAAAATTTTGCAGAATAAATCCTATCTTAAATGTATAAAATATGATGAGTTTTATACTTGTGACTTATCACTGCATTAATATTTTTTAGATTTGGTTATACACGGTGTCTCAAAAAAGTTAATGACTGATTCAATTTATTTTATTGAAGAAATCAAGAATAGCAAAACTGAATACTTTGAAATATTGTAGATGTTTTGAAGTTTTTGTAAGCATGGTAACTTTTTCGAAAATTTGATTAATCAAATATGCGCAAAATCAAAAATCGGAAAAACTGAAATTTACTAATGCAAAAAACAGAAAATCGAAAAATACAAATCGTAAAAATCGAAAATGTAAAAATGGCTAATCAAAAAATCGAAAATTCAATGAATCAAATACCTAGGTCGATCGAAAAGTGGAAATTCACAAACCTCAAAAATCGAAAAATCGAAAATTGAAAAACGGGAAAACCAAAAAATCGAAAAGTCGAAAATTTGTAATATTGAAAATTAAAAAAAACAAAAACAAAAATAAAAAAAGTCGGAAATTAAAATAATCAAAATATATAAAGTAAAAAAAATTGCGAAGCCTAAAAACTGAAAAAGCAAAAAATTGGAAAAACAAAAATTCGAAAAATCTAAAATCGAAAATCTGAATAAGGAAACTTGGAAATTCTGAAAATTGGAAAATCGAAAACCAAAAAATCGGAAAGTAACAAAATTGAAGTCGTAACAGTTGAGAATGGTAAAATTGAAAAACCGAAAATTCTAAAAATCGACAATGGACAAATTGAAAATCGCAAAATTTAAATTGAAAAATTGAACATAGAAAAATCGATGAATTGAAAAATCGAAAATTCAACTACTCAAATTTTCTAAAAATCGAAAAATCATAAAACTGAAAAATCCAAAGTCTGAAAACTGAAAATCGAAAATTCTGAAAAGCGGAAAATAGAATAACGAAAAATTTAAAAGAAAGAAAATTGAAGTCTAAAAACCGAAGAATGGAAAAATTAAAAATCAAAAATTCGAAAAATGAAAACCGAAAAATTCAAAGATTTAAAAAGAAAATCGAAAAATCAAAAATCTGAAAATTGAAACTCGAAAATTTGGAAAATCGAAAAGTAAAAAAATTGAAGTCTAAAAGCTGAAAAATGGAAAACTGAACAATCGAAATATCGAAAATCGAAAAGCCGAAAAATCGAAAATTTGATAAATCAGATATGCGAAAAACAGAAAATCTGAAAATACAAAACTGGAAAATCAAAAATCTAAAAATGGAAAAACCGAAAATCGAAAATTCAATGAATCTAATACGTAGGTCGATCGAAAAACCGGAAATTCACAAATCTGAAAAATCGAAAATTTGCAAGATTGAAAAACCGAGAATTGAAAAATCAAAAACCGAAAAATGGAAAAATCAAAAATCGAAAAATTCGAAAACCGAAAATTCGAAAATTCATAATATTGAAAACTCTAAAAGTCGACAAATCAAAAATTAAAAAACTGGAAAAAAATAATAGAAAAATCGAAAAGTAAACAAATTGCAAAGCCTAAAAACTGAAACAAACAGAAAAATCGAAAAACCACAAAAGCGGAAAAACGAAAATCGAAAAATCGCAAATCGAAAAATCGTAAAATCAGAAAATGGAAAATCGAATAATCGAAAGTTGAAAAATCGAAGGTCGAAAAATAAAACAACTGAAAAATCGAAAAATTTTATGATTAATGGAAAATCGAAAAATCAAGAATAGAATAATTAAAAAACCGGAAAATTGAAAAATCGGAAATCGTAGAATTAAAAACGTAAAAACGAGAATTCAAAAATCAAAAAAAAAAATCGGAAATTAAAATATAATCGAAAAATGCAAAAAAAAATGCAAAGTCTAAAAACTGACGAACAGAAAAATCAAAAAATCTAAAAATGTAAAGACGAAAAGTCGAAAATTGAAAGAATGGCAAATTAAAAAATCGAAACATCGAAAAATCAAAAAAACGAAAAATTAAAAAAGCGAAAAACGAAAAAACTGAAAACTCGAAAAATCAAAACACCGCAAATTTGAAAAATCAGAAAATTAGAAAGTAATAAAATCGAAAAGTTGATAGAAAAATGGAAACTGAAAAATCTAATTCGATGAAACTGTTGGTCGAAAAAACTCATCATATCAAATTTTACGATGACGTCACGCATTTTTTGGCGAAGATAAGCAAATACATTTTTATCGTGGCTTTGAAAGTATTCTTCGACTTTCGTTCCATTTCAAAATTTACTCTTTGTATATTTCAGTGGTCACAAGGAGTTCACAAACTATGCTGAAGTATGCAAAGATTAAATTTGTCACCGAAAAAATGTCGGAAGTAATAAATTATCCTATCGGCCGAAGAACGTTCGGTCCGGTGTTACACCTCGACCCAAGAGAGACCGCAGTAAAGGATAACAAATGGAACGGATAAAATAAAGCGTCAAATACGATTGAGAAACTTTAAACCAAAATTAAGAAGTTTATAAACTGAACATTTTTTTTGCTTTTTGAATGTGAATTTTATAACTATGGTCGGCACAATTAGACTTAATATTAGTGTGATTTTGAGCATATTCTCGATGTTATTAGAGCAGGACAGGTTTTTTTTTCTAACTAATTGACAAGATTTCAAAGTATTCAGTTTTGCAATTCTTGATTTCTTCAATAAAATAAATTGACTCAGTCATTATTTTTTTTTGAGACACCCTGTATGTATAAACAAATTCAAAAAAATTAATGGAATGGTAAATCACAAGTATAGACTCATCATATTCTGAACATTTTAGATAGGGTATTTATAAAATTAAAACTAATTCAGAGTAAGTATTTATAAAATTAAAACTAATTTAGGGTAAGAATTTGGTCAACACGTAAATTTCGTTGTAGTTTGAGCCTACCTACAAATTCTGCCCTTGGACGATTTGGACCGCCTCCTTCGGTGACGACCGGCAAAAATGATCCACCCATAGGCTCAAAACATTTGCGTGCGATTGTACATCTGTTTGTAAAACTGGGCTTCTTGAATAACCTCGGTACTATTGAAGTGTTATGAACAGACTGAAGGAAGCGAGAAATAGTAGGTATCAGGGCGATGAATAAGAGCGACGAGGAAGGAATAGAAGAACAAGTCTTCATTGACATGGTGCCTACCCAAATCGCCGTCTGGTAGTTCGATAATCATGAGCGTAGTAGAAGATCTTGTAAAGAACAATAGGTTGCTTCAGGTGTTCTCCATTGAAGACGCAGAAGATTTCACCACGGTGATTGCCAGTACTTGATGCGCACACTTCAGGTTTCTAGGTTTAACTCATGGTCAAAAATGTTCAACAAAAAATTGTAACTCTCGACATATCAGT